TGCTGAACCTCAGGAACCTTGCTCTTTAGATACATATTAGACTGAAGACCTATGTGGCCCAGGTATACAGGCACATCTTGGCAAAATATCTGAAAGGTCTTTAGCTAGGATTTGTGCTTTTTCACACTGAGTCTCACACTGGTTGCACCCAGTAGCATTTGGGCCTGCACAGCCATGGCAGAGGAGAGCCCTGCCACTTGTTACAAAGGGCATCCTGCAAATCCTCTTGTGATCTGCATAGGGAAGGGCTGAAGGCTCTAAATGCTGCTTTTCATCGGGAGGGTGGATTTAAAGGAAATGCAGCCACCTTCACCTCTGCCTCCTTCTTTCTGCGGTACATCAAGATGATGCAGATCACTTTCAAAAGTATCTGTCTTCCTCCACTGGTTATAGAGGGACCGCAGATGATCAACTTAAATTGAGTGCTTAAGTTCTAGATGGCTTAAGATGGATTAAATTACTCTTGCTCTCAGTGAAGATCTCAGACAAAGAAACTTCATCCAAGCCTTTAGTTGCCCATATTCTTTAGATCAAGTATTTTTTTTTGTACTGCAGTTGAGTGGAGGTGAGGTTGTCCCTGGCATAGCCACAACACAGCACTGTAAACACTACACCTTCTCTGTCTTCACTGACGTGGTCTCCAAAAGCCTCTTACCAACTTTCTTCTATCTCTTTTCTTTGAAGGTATGACCCATCTTCCAATTTCTGGATACTCATTAATAATGGGCATATGTGCATCCCTGAAGAAACAGTTCCATCCCTGTGCCTTTATTGGTACAGTAACTTGCTGTAACCATAGTTCAGCCTATTTTTGATCTCTTTACTTCATCTTCCTTTGGTTCACCAACATCTTGCAATGCAAGTGCATATGTGGCCATTTTACTGGTTGAGCACAACTCTCTCACCCTTGTCCTTTTCTTCTTTTTCCTCATTTTTATCAAACAGACCCTCTCTTTCTTTCCAGGTTTGAAAATCCTTTTCATTAGAAGCCAGAATCAGACAGAAGATTTGCCCTTGATTGTAGTTTGTTTTTTTCTCTAAATAAGAACATGAGTACACCAGCAAAGTCATCAGCATTGGAACCAATTATTTAAAAGTGAAATAAATATTGTGAGTAACCTTGAAGTATCTCCCTACGTGGTAATTAATATTGCAAACATGGAATTGTTGGAGTGAGTCCAGAGGAGGGCCACAAAGATGATCAGATTCTGTACATTGTATTAGGTTCCAGGTTTCCTTCAGACAAGCAAATCTGAGGTCTAGGAAGCATTAAAAGTTTTGGCTTTTCCCAAAGTCATCTCTCAGTTTTGTGGTCGTGTGATTCCATTCTCATCTCACCAGCAATTAATGGTGTCTATCATATTCCCTCATTTTTTTTCCATCTCTCCCTGATGTTATAAGGAAACAAGACTCAAGTGTGAAGTGCATGGAGATTTGTGCTCTCTAAGGGCATGCTGGCACCTCACTCTTTGAGTGCTTTCTCATTGACTCACTAATGCTGCACAGGAACATAAAGCAGTGATCCAGCATAAAAGGAGCTTTTCTAGAACCTATTGGAGGTGGTTTAAGACATATCTGAATCTAGTGCCACCCCTGCACTGGACAGTCCCCATCCCACAGGTAAATTTGGGTCAAGGTCTGTGTTCAGAGGAAACGAGCTCAAAAACAGTGACTTATAATAAACCCTTTGGCTTGGACAGAAATAGATGACAACTGTGCCCATGATGTGGTGGTGTGTCTCAGCTAGCTGGCCAGAAAATGTCCTTTAATGGGTGGTAAGAGGCAGCTGGAGAGGAGCCCACTATGGCTAACGTGGCACAAAGAGAGCTGAGCCACACCCTTAGCTTGTGCATTCCTTGCTTTCATTCAGTGAAGGCTGGGATAATTATACCCCCACCAGGGTTTGCAGAGCTCTCAGTAATTCCAGACCAAGTATTTATATTCTGCTGTGAAACAGGATGTGTGCTTTTATATCACACACCTTTCCAAGCTTTTTCTTCCAGTGGAACTATCAGAATACCTGTGAATTGGTGAAATGGTGTCTTTGTATAGGCTCATTGCTTTGATCTGTTAAATTCCCAGAAAGTCAATTAAAAAGAAAAGAACCACAAGGTTCCTTTAAAAGAAAGAAGTAATCCCAAGAAAAACAGGCTTTTAAGGTAAAACCTAAGTAAAATTAAGTCAGCAGTAGGCATGTAAACTGAAAATCTGAATATCTGTTTATAGGGAGAGTGGCTTAAATGAGCTGCTTTTGAGTGAATCGCTGAAGTTTGGAAGTTTTAGAGAGTCAAGCCTGCTCTGCATTCCCATTTTGTCATCTGGATTACATGGCAGGAGGAATTGTGTGTCTTCAGAGAAAGTGGAAACATGGGAGGAAGGAAAACACTCCATAACTTCCATGACTTTCCAAACAAGGAAGAAACAGGAAAAAACAGACAACTGTCCAGTTCATTTCCAATAAAGGGCCTTTCCCTCACACAAAAAGTCTCACTCCCGCAAGATTTCTCCCATCATATGGGATAGTGTATCCACTAGCTCCAGGACAAAGAGAAAAAGAAAACTGTGCCATCATTCATCTGCCATTGAGATAGAACAGTCAACATGCATGAGAGTTGGATAAAACCATTAAGATATTGGATAGACCTTGGCTTTTCTGAAGCAAGAATTTAGGCCCCTTCCCCCTAATCTGATCCGACCTGTGGTTGAAGGAGCCACCTGGGATGAAAATATGGATAATGAGAAGAGATTTCAGAATGTGTGCTGGAAAGATGTGTCTCTGCTCAGCTGATCATTTTCAAGACAGGAGAGCAACAAAGGCTAAAGTGTTCCATAAATAAAGTCTGTTCCGATGATTAATTAACTTTCTGATAATGACTGGATCAGTGGTGGGAGGAAAAGAAGAGTGAGACTGGATGATTGTCTGTGCTCTGAAACATGATAGAAATAATAGAATTTGGCAGGTTTGAGTAAGCACGTAACTTGGACG